AATAAAAAGTGGATAATTATTAAATTTAGTTTTGTTTAAATATTTTAACTGAATATTTGCTAATTGCTAAGGGCTGTAATTATTTTCTATGTAGCAAATAGAATAAATCAATTTCTGCTCGGTCTCACGCTGACTGCTGACCTGAGATGGAACAAATACATTGAGTCAATTGCTTCTTCCACCGCGAGGAAAGTTGGCTCTCTGTGCCGCGCCAGGAAATTTTTCTCCCCTGAATCGATACTTCAAATATATAAAACAACCATTCGCCCTTGCATGGAGTATTGCTGCCATATATGGGCTGGAGCACCTTCTGCTTACCTCGGAGTTCTCGACAAGATCCAGAGAAGGATATGTAATCTAATTGGCCCTGATCTAGCGTCTTGCTTGCAGTCACTCTCTCACAGACAGCGCCGTCGCCTCTCTCTGTCTTTTCTACAAATACTTCCATGGTAACTGCTCTGATGAGCTGCTCTCTCTGGTTCCCAGACTCCATGAATTCAAAGCGCCCTCTGAGGCTGGCATCCCGCTCTCACCCTTACAATCAGAGAAACCTTCAAATGTAGCCGTCTCTTCTACTCCAATAGCTTCATACCTGCACCTCTCGCCAGTGGAACACCCTCCCCAATTACTGTTTCCCTGAAAGCTATAATCTCCAACTATTCAAATGTAATGTCAATCGACATCTCCAATTACCTTGATCTACCCACTATCCTTCTCCTCTTCCTTTCTCCTATCACTCTTATCTGCTTTCGCTCCAAACCCCCTGCATCCTAGTGGCTTCACGCCTTGCTTGGGGCACAATGCTTAAAAAAAAAAAAAAAAAAAAAAATATATACTTGTGTAATGTGTGATCTTGCATATCGTGCAACCCCCAAATTTTCACTTATGAAAAATGATTTTATCATGTATCTCGTGTATCATATTCTTTTTTGAGAGACCAAATTACAATAGACTAACCTCTTTCCCTTTGTTTCTTTATCCCATCTTCTAGTTAAATAAGTTAAAAAAGCAAAAGAGAATGATAAAAGTATTGTTAGTAATGCTATCCTCATTGTGTAAACACATACAGCCATAAACAGCTGAATGAGAAACAGCTAAACATCTTATAAACGTAAACAATGGAAAAGATGCATATTTGCTATGTTTGTATTTTATAATACAATACTAATATGTGAATATTACATGCATTATTATTGGATACAGTTAAGGAAAACATCAGTTTTATTAAAACCCTGTTTATTTTAAATACAGCCGAACTTTTTGACTTCAGTAAATGGATATATAGTTTGGTCAATGGCATAGCCAGAGCCAGCAGTACATATGTTAATTTTATATCTCATGTATGATGTGACCACCTTAAAATTAGCTTCAAAATTAGGTCTTCAAAAATTGCATGATATGCAAGTATATACAGTAGTTAAAAAGGAACATTTTGAAACTAATTTAATTTTGTAATCATTAATAAATAATAATCATGTCTGATTATTTAAATTTTTTTTTACCCAAATCTTTTTGAAAAAGGGCCTTGAAATTCATATAACTTATTAACTTAGGACCTCTACTGGTAGTAGTACCAATTTGTTGTTCCATGGTTAATAGCAGTCTTCATTTTATTTGGATGTAGAACAAAGAAACAGATTGTACAATAGAAAAGTCTTCACTACTTCAGATCAGCTGGGTTGATCAAAAGTTATATTTTCTTATTAAATGACCAAGTTTAAACAAGTGGCATAGTCTCTTTACTTACAATTAGCTGGGTTAATCAAGACAAAAGATTTTTAAAATATTCAAACATCCCAAGATGAACAAAGGACAAGCCTTATTTCAAATAAGTTAGTACGTTACATATATCAATTATATGAATATATTTGGGAATTAAAAATATGTCTATACCTCAACACCCTACATCTCACGGGCAATAGCATATCCCAAATCCTTGAAAATTGCTAATACATTAGCTGAAAGCACTTGGAACTATCATCTGGACATTTTCTGCATAAACCGAAAAAAAATCTCTTGTTTGCACACTGGAAAAACAGAAACTTCTCCAAAGTACCTTGTCAGTTATTTTTAATGAAACATGCATTAAAGAGGGACTGCTGCCAAAATTATATATATATATGTGTGTGTGTGTGTATGAACATTGAGGCTAACACTGTTTCATGCTTAAACAATCTTCATTATATATAATAAAAATATAATTTTAAGGTATACTATATAACACCTATTGGTGACAGTCTGTTTTATACTTGAACACAATCTTCAAGCCTGAAGACTGCATTCAAGCATGAAACAGACTGTTGCTGTTCAGTGTTAACCCCAGTGTTTATATATATATATATATATATATATATATATAGTAAAGGTAATAAATCTGTTGATACATAATCCAAGTGGATCCTAGTAATATAAAATATCAAACCTGATCCACAAAAAGAGCTTAATGTATTTATTATACAGAGCAAATAGTAGTAAACCAAAAAATCCCAAATTACTTCATATGGGTTATAGACCTACTTCAACTGCCGAAAACTTTTTCAGTCTTATTCAACCCCAGTATACAGACTGAGTTAATGTCAGAATTAGAAATTTAACTGTGACAGCACTTGAAAAATTGATACAAAATTTACCCATTTCAATGTTTCAGTCAGATAAAAGGCCTAAGCCAGTGGTCAAGGGAGGGTGTAAGGTATTAGCCTTAAAGGGAAGAGGTTTATAAAATTAAACCCAGATATTAACCTTATGACATTAAATTGCGGTTATATGAAGAATGAAGTGTTAATTTGAAACTAAGAAAGGAACAAAAAAGGTTTTTCTTAAAATAAAATTATATATATAAGAATAAGTTCAAAAGAATACAAATGCTTACATAAAAACACTATTCCAAAGATAAATTATACTTAAGGTAAAATATATTTTATAAATTAAAAACAAGTTATATTTAGAAAATTTATATTAAAATTAAGTAAGATTACATTAAAAAAAAACAAAAAAAAACTTTAAAATATATAAAGAGGTGTAAGTGATAAAAGAAAGAGTTCTTAGAACAGGGGGCAATTAGAAGATATAATTAATATGGTGTAAACATTAGAATTAGTTATACATTCGACATTGAAGAGTTAGAGAAATATGGTAGCTAATAAAATAAAATTTATATTATGGAAATTATAATCTATTTTTATGTCAACATTTTAAAACTAATTCATTCCTTTAATTTAATAGTTTGCTTTGATTATTGTATTTTACTATTCTAATTTTTTCTTGTAAACTTAAGTTACACCTAAAAAAATTATGAAATTCTGTTTATCTTTTACAAATGATCAAGTCAAATTAATACATTTTCATAAAAAGAGTGGCAAAACATTTTTCACCAAGGTCTTCAAAATATATTTTCAATACTTGCAACATGCACATGACTCAAACACATGCTGTAAATTGGAAGAATAGAACAAAACCCAAAACCAATTTTAACTCAAAACCAATGACAGGAATAGTCTCTGAATTAAAAAAAAATTCAATAAAATGTTGAAAGTAAAACTTAAAAGTTAAAGTGATTTTGATAATAGTGGCAAATTAAATTTGGGGAAATAAAAATGAGGCTGGGTCAATTTTCATTTTATTTAATGCACTTGTTTGAAATTAAAACAAGTATTATGAGAGCACACATTTGAGGAAATATGGTATGTTATTATATATATATATATATATATATATATATATATATATATATATATATATATATATATATATATATATATGAATTAAAGATCAAATATATATCAGAACAGAATCCAAAGGACAAGATAAAGAACAAATAGAAAACATTTATCAATCTAACATGTTTCCCTTTTATTAAAGCTGATGAAGCTTTGGTAAAAGTGGAACATGTTAGATTGATAAATGTTTCCTATTTGTTCTTTTTTATAAAGATTAATAATTAATTAATCCTCATCTTGGTCGCCATATTTATCACAACACATGGCACAGTGGATAAAGGCGTTGGTTAGATCCAGTGACAGGACCCAAAGAGTGAGTTCAATACCCGGTTAAAGCAGTGGAGAACTTTCAGAGAGAAATTAGCAGGAGATAACTGATAACTGACATCCATCAAACATGGCATGTGGAACTAGAACAGTCTACCCCAGTGAGTGAAATAAAGGGTTCAGTTCGAAATTCCAACCACCTGAAGAAGGCCGGAGTGTACAACGGCCGAAATGTTGTGATAAAAGATGAGGACAATAGTCTGAATAATGTAAATAATGAAAATATAAGTTTTGCTATTTAGCGCTAAAGTTTCAGAGACGAACCATTTTTGTAATTGTTTGGTTCACTTGTCAGGCAGTTTCAGTAATTGATTTGACTGTATTTTATATAAAATAGATATACACACAGATAAGAGGTTGAAAAGTTCTCTGCCCACTCCAGACCTCCCCAGCCCTGTAAATTCTGATATTAGGACAAGAACTTTCCAACACCCTTATATATATATATATATATATATATATATATATATATATATATATTTCAATTATAGGTGCAGTCCAGTTTATAATTACATGAATCATTCATACAAAAAACAAATATAAAGGTTAATGATTTAAATGGCGAGAATACATCTTCGCAAACAAATTTCAATAAGATACACTAACCCTGAACCTGTATATGAACATTATGCAACTGGAATTTATAAACAGGGATCATATCATTCATATACATGTTCGGGGTTAGTGTACCTTATTGAAATTGTTTTATAAGATGTATTCTCGCCATTTAAATCATTAACCTATATTTGTTTTTTTGTATGAATGATTCATGTAATTATATATATATATATATATATATATATATATATATATTCCACTAGTGAAAAAAAAAACAAAAACAAAACTGAACAAAGTGGAGGATCTTTTTTGGCATCTAAATGTTGTATCATTTGAAGAATCTGGTATGGTAAATATTTCAAACAAAACAATTAGTGCAAACCAGAATTTTTTTTTTCATTACAGTTTGCCTTTTGTTTTTCCATACATTTCTCTCACCATATAGACAATTTTATGGGCCTCTTCAAAATGTGGGGCCAAATCCTTCTTGACTTGTTCCATCCACTTTTTAACAGTTGCATTGGATTCATACAGCTGTTCCTCATGTACTCCATTAAGTTGCATCAGTTCACAAGCACCAAGAATATCGCAGATAGAAATCGTTGGTTGGTTGCACAGATAGGGTCCATCCTGAAGGAAATCCTTCTCCAAATGTTCAACTGTCTTTGACACTTCACCTTTAAAGTGCTCAACCAAGTTCCATTTAATTGGCTTACCTGTCCTATAAGGTTCGATCATCTGAAAAAAATAAATAAATATGTGAATCATATACATTTTATTGAATGTTTGTAAAAATTTTGGGTTTTCTATTCCTTCTTCATATCAATGAGGAGTAAAAGGGAAAAAATGTTTGAAACTCTAAATAAAATTAAAATAAAATTTAATATCATAAATTTATTTTACTTTAAAAAAATAAAACAGAAAAATACTTTTTAAAAATATTTAATATAGATTTGAAAGTGCATTTGAAAGTCAATTTTATTTTGCAATATAAAATTTTGTTAGTAGAATCCTGTATACCAATTGCATTAAAAAAATATATTGCAGTATGTTCTTGAGTTAGATATATAACAACAAAGAAATGGCTGCCTTGGTAGAAAAGTGCCTCTTTTTGAAAAACCTGAAATATTTATATTCTACTGACATGTAATGCCTCCACCTGGTGATGACCTAAAAAACCAAGAAAAGCTAACTTATCAATGAACACATCAATCTGGAATGCCATAAAATGTTGATATATTGCCTCATGATCATCTGTTGTAGTTTTGGTAGTCTGTGCTGTATTTACCTATAAGCTAAATTAGCATTAGCTCAGGGCCCACAGACACTTGGGGCCTCATTTTTTAAAATATATTTTATTTTATCGCTAATTTTTCATTTCTTAACACTAAAAAATTAAAAATATATATATATATATATATATATATATATATATATATATATATATACACACACACACGTGTGTGTGCGCGTATGCGTATGTATATATTGAGGTGGGTAAATCAAATAACTAGATATTAGCAATTGTATAGACATGCATTTTCATGCCTACACAGTTAAGTAAATGAATATTCACTCAATTTAAGGTGTAAACAAAACAGTGCTCAATGTGGTTAGAGGTACAAGATATATATTAATAAATATACATATACCTACGTTCAAAGTGCAACTTAAGTTTCTTTGTTCTACCAACACATCAGGCACAAATTATTACTTTTGATTTAAAAAAAAAATAAAAAATATACACTGGGTCTCTATACTAAGGAACGCTAAATTACATGGATATTCACAGCTCGAACTTAAAATAAGCTAAATATAATATTGGGGTGTAAATACAGAAAATAAGGTGTAGGTAGGGGGCTATTGCAAAAAAAAAAAAGAAAAAGGCAAGCTTAAAGTTTAAAGAGGAACACTGGGCAACTCGTTAAGTAATAATAAATGTTAAAATGATCAAAGGGAGGTAATCAACGTCTAACCTAAAATATGGGAAGTGCATGTGATAATTGGATAAAATATTTTAATTCTGGATAAATATATTAAGAGAAATCTTTTCCTATGATTAAAACCTAACAATACTCATTTCGTTTATTAAGTAGATTTTGGTCATTAATATTTTTGAGGATGAATTTTTTCTAGCAAACACAGGTTGCATCAGTCATAAGGAAAAGTGTGTAGTTTTGGTGATGAAATCCAAATTTACTACTGATGTGTAGTTATCCGTTTTAACCCCAGTAAAATTTTGAGAATGCTGTGACATTTGTATATTGCTTATTGTTAAGGGTCATTTTGTGATGGTAAAATCTGGTTTTCCAGTTAAATTACTGTGAAACCAAAATAAAATTTTGTTTCGCCATTATGTTTAACGTTAGTCTTGTAAATGACGCCTTTATATATACATTTTTTGTTCATCAGACAGCTAATGCCTTTTCGGCAATTATGCTTTTTTTATGTGTTAATATTGCTTTGGTGTTGCTTAAGCATTTGTTTAAAGTTAGTTTATTATGCTGTGCTATATATTGTTCTAGGTTTCTAGTGCAGCTGTAACTAATCTTAATATTGTTCTTATTGAAGATTTTGTGGAGTAAAGGGTTATGGCTGAAATGGTTGTGGATTAAATTTAGGAAAATCTTACTGATGTTGGTTTTGACATTCCTGTTAAAAGGTGAGTTGAACCAAATTATGTTGCATTTTCTATTCTTACATTTATTATTAGTATTCTTGCTAATGCTTGGAATGTATTCTAGTTTAACTTTGTGTTTACTTTTATTTACAGCATCAACATATTTAGTTTTATATTTGTCAAAAATAATTTTGTTGCTAGAGTTAGTTGAGAGTCTGTGTTAAACAGATTTGTGAAAGCTATTTAGGATTCCAGGTGGATGGTTGGATTCTTTACTTTATATATACATATATATAGTAGCAGAATGGCCCAGCATTGCCTGTGCTTGATTCAAAAATCGTACGACTCATAAAGCATTCGCTATCACTTGAATTAAAATATTTTTGCCCTTCCTTGCCTACATGCCTTACTTCTTGCCTATCTTGCACTGCAAATTTTTTCTAAGCTCTATACTAAACATTAAATCTGTCACGAAAAAAGAACTAAACAAAATGAACACTAAACGATCAGCTTTAAAAAAGGACTCGTAACTGGAAAAGAGTGAATGAAAAAAGAATGTTAACAACAAATTCTTTTTCATACCCAACCCAGTTCTGCGGAATCAGAATCAATGTTGGGTTTAAGCAAGCGAATGAGCCAATTGGAGTAAAGTGCCATGCAGATTTAAATTTTTCCCACTTGTGATGAATGTAGCTATCAATTTTTTTTGCATGCTAGCATGCTAGTTAACATTCGTGTCAGTCAGCTGTTGGCTCTCACGCTGGCCAATAGAATCTTCCTGCCTATTCGTGGTAGCCAGCTATAGGCTCTCACTCTGGCCAGTAGAAAATGGCCGCAAACTACATGAAAACTGCCGTAGAAGCATGAAAAAAATCGATTATTTCCACTATTGATGGGAGTTGGGAAATGCAAAGTCAATCATCTTGGTCTTCCCGCTAACTTGGAGCATGTGCATGTAAATTTTGGTGCAAATCCGTCGAAAATTGAGGCTGTGCATTCGTTACACATACACACACACATCCTGCCTTTTATAGATAGAGCTATATATATATAGTTATAGAGCTCTTTAGTATAAGGCATGAGCACTTCTCTGGATAGATCGAAAGTATTATCCAGAAAGTTAATCACCTTAGTGTTAGTGGTGATATTAAGTCCATGATCATTGAAAAATTTGAAGAGTTGTTTGCTAAATTGGTTAGTTTGTTGTGGATTGGTATTATGTAGGAGGATAATTTTGTCATCTCTGTACAGACCAGTGTTCCCACTATATATATATATATATATATATATATATATATATATTACAGTAAGGTTCAGCATGTACAAGGCCTGGAGGCCATTTGAGGTAGAGGCTTATGTTAATGGGTAGTTTATGGATAGAAGGGGGAAGATAATGGTTAATCTTAGATTTGAACATGTTAAGATTGTAGTGATTGGGGAAAAATCCTCTTGGGATGGTACAGGTTTTGGGACTTTTATTCTCTTCACCAAGCAAAATTTTTATGTGGATTTAGTTTTTAATTGTCAGTATATGCTTTCCAGATATTTCAACTTATGACTTTTAACAATCAGAGCTTATTGTTTTAGAAAAAGAAAAGGAATTATTTCAATGTTTTTTTTTTCCCCGCCAATAATGTTCACCATGTACAAGGCCCAAGAGCCACTTGAGGTAGAAGGTTACAGAGTAAGAGGTAAGGGGCAAAGCTTATGAGGATATATGGTGAAGATAAAGATTAACTCTAGACAGGTTAAGATTGGAGCGATTGTGGAAGCATCCTCTTGGAAGTTGGTTGCACAAAGTAGTGGTTTATGGGAAGAAACTGCTCAAGTAGAACATACATCTCATTAACAGAATATGAGGATGGTTTGTTACAATGTGCATAGCATGGTGGGTCTTAGCTGTGAAACTTAGAACTGGTGGAAGTAAGGAATGTAGTTTGTGTGAATACTTTCCATGGAAATAGCAATAGAATAGTGTGAGGCTTGCAACTTTTTGTCTGTGGGAAAGTGGTTATAGGATGGAAGATAAATACTGTAAATACTAGTGTATTGTGCGACTTTAGAAGACCTAATTTTGAAGCTAATTTTAAGGGGGTTGCATCATACATGAGATATAAAATTAGTGCATATGTACTGCTGGCCCTAGCTATGCTGTTGATCAAACTATATATCCATTTACAAAAAAGACAAAAAGTACATCTGTATTTAAAATAAACATTGTGTGTTACACGAGTATATACAGTAATCATTCACAGTGCCGTGTATACCCTTTTGGACTCTATTGAGACTGTAAAGTGAAGATCGTGTAGCTCCTGCCTATATATGATGGCAGTACTCCATTTTAAGTTTGTTCTGGCTCTTGTAAATGGTAATGGTAATATTAGCCATTTTCCTACAAGGAAACATTTGGCATTCATTGAGCGAGCAACCAGTGCTGCTTTTGGTTGAAATTTATAAAATCATTCTCTTAAAACAATTTTTCAAGAAAATAGGTTTCTCAAGTCCAGTAGCTGTTATTGCACTTTCCAGTATTGATGTGGGGGGGTGTCCTTCCCAGAATAGCATGAGGCGCTCACGTACTGGAGCAGTACAGAGAACCAACCGTTTTTCCCAACATCTTTAGTAATGGATTGTATATACGAGTTGCACTTGAGAATCTGTGGTGAGCTTAAGTCCTAATAGATATTCAAGGCACAGGGCCTCTGAGAGAACACCCATTCATTGAGATATGTGAAATTCAGGATCTGTTCAGTGATGATAGAATGGCACTAGTCTGGTTTTTGTGGCATTGAATGTCACCAGCCACCTCCCCACCCTTGACACTAAGCTGTTAGAGCTGGGTCAGAGTTTCATTTCTGTTGAGTAATAATCTATAATAGAAAAACCTGTTAAAATTTCATGATTTTTCTGATGAATCTTAAGTCAAGGATGGCCAACCTGTGGCGCATGTGCCACAAGTGGCGCATTGCATCCTTTTAATGAAAAGAAACTAAGCCATTTCTACTCATTCATTTCAGTGATTTTATATTTATTGCATGTCCTTTGCAAAAGTTCTAAAAGGATACGCCCCTGGTCATAAGCATATATTTTTAAAATAAATAGATTTTATTATAACTTTAAAATATGTCCATATTACAACACGTACTGAAAGGAAGTGAATGTTTGTTTGGCGCATTTAAATTAATCGTACAAAATATTGGCGCATGGAATCAAAAGGTTGGCCACCGCTGTCTTAAGTTAATGATTGAATAAGCTGTGCAAGAAAACGGGGAAAAAAAAAAAAACAACTTCCTGCGACACAAAACGAACGCCTACTTGCGACACAAAACGAATGCCTACTTGCGACACAAAAAACGAACATCTTCTTGCGACACAAAAACGAATGCCTTCTTGCGAAACGAAACACTTTATGACAGCAAACGAGCAAAATGGCACCAAGACTGCTGTCGATGGACGACCGACCCCAATGGCTAGTTTCGCCCAAGAAAAGATGCCAAACGACTCGCGCGTCTTCTTCTTGTAGTCCACGTTCGAGTCCATTATGGTACTCCAAGGTGTGCTCAGCGACAACCCACACACGCAGTTCGAGGACGTTTCCGCGCATGCTTGTTACATAAGCTCATGGCAAATTCTATGTCAATAAAATATTTGTAGAAATTCCACTACTGCATTGTTAAATATTTGAGCTTAACTACTTTAACAAAATATTGTAGTAAGAATTATAAATATGAATTTTGCTCGTTATTTTAAGAAGTGGGTAGAAATGAAAAGATTTGAAATTGACAACTTTTCCCATTTCACTGAAACAGCAGTTAAACACTTGTATCTTCCCCTTTTTCTTTCTTTCTTTCATTTTTTCATTGAAAAGTGCCTTTTCCCTTGTGATGATGATCATCATCACACACACATACATACATACATACCTACACAAATTCAAATTTCAATAACTGTCATTCATTGGATAGAAATCAACGCTGCTATCTTATGTGACAATTTTGAGATCGCTATATTTTCGTATAGTAAATTTTGTGCACTTTTGGGAGAATTGGATCCCAGAAGTTTCCTCAAAACTCATGCACTGATTGGTCAGTATTGACCAATCAGATTCTCTGCATGTGGAGAATGATTCTTCCTGCACAGCACTCCTGATCCAATGATCTTACTTATTATAAAACGCAGATTGTGTGTGTGTGTGTGTGTGTGTAACGTTTATATATTGGATCGGATTTCCTACATTTTTCAACCGATTTCAACAAAACTTCACAGCACAATTATAATAGAATATACAATACTTCTGGTTCTAAGAATTTTTCAAAGAGATTCTTTAAACAATATGAGAATTTCTCAGAGATTAGAAGAATTCTTACAATAGTACGGAATATCATTGCTGCATTAAGTCTGGTGTTGGCATGTTGCCAGTGAAGATATTCATCAACTCGGATCTGTTGTTGAAAATCACTTGGATACCAATGATCTTCAAGTTTATACTTTAGAGTCAGGTATTTGAGAATTGCCACACTGAAAGACATAAAAGATAAAATCATTACACTTTCTTTTTTGTCATGAATGCATAAATAAATGTCCTTGAAAACGAACCCATATCATATGTGCTTTTTCCCAAGGAAGAAGGAAAAATTGTAAAAAGGCCAACCAGAAAAAGAATACGACAGCAAGGTTTGGTTTGGTTTATTTTATGGCACATCAGCCTCAAAAGGATTATTTAACGCTAACAAAATTTTTATTGTTGGTAATATTTTTTTCCCAAAAAATGTATTGCTGGTAATATTTTTTTCTTCAAAAATCTACTTCTGGGAAAATTTTTTCTTCAAAGATCTATTGCTGTTAATATTTTTTAAAAAATGTATAGCTGTTCGTATTGCTGGTAATATTTTTTTTTTTTAATGTATTGGTGATAATAATTTATTCTTTCAAAAATCTATTGCTGGTAATATTTTTTATTTTTTTTATACAAAGCATCTCTGGTATTAAAACCCATTTTTACACTTTTGTAGTATTTTGACTCCAGTTTGGGGTTTAACTATTTGCCCATAGCTGGGACCCTAAAAGGTACTACCACCCTGAGTCAGGGTGAACCTAGGAACACAGGCAATTAAGAGGTGATTCTACACTCCTCAAAACCTCCTGATCACAGGCCTTGCTTTTGGACATAGTTTATTGTCTTACCCAGGACATGGTTGTAGTTTATTGTCACACTCAAGACGGACAACAAGTAGAAATGCTTACCTGTGTAAACATGTTGGAAAACAGTATGATATCTACCATAAATTTTCTACTACGGTATGATATTTACCATCCATTTTTTTTACTATGGTATGATATTTACCATCCATTTTTTTACTGTGGTATGATATTTACCAACTCTTGGAAGTATGAAACCCTAACTCTTAAAAAGGACACCACTTCAATTGAGATTATTTTGTGTAATTTTAGCTTATTTTGTAATGGAATTACATAAATACCTGCTTTATGAATACAAATTAGATAAATACCCCACTATTTAGGCTAAAATAATACTATGTAGTTTAAGGTATTAATTGCTGTAGGCTGTAAGTAGGTTGTTTGGTAGAGTGCTTTTATGGTAGGTCGCAACTGCTTTGGTAGATATCATACTATAGTAGCATCCTTTACAGTCTATAAAAATGCATTTTATTGTGAGTTGGCATTTGTTGCATGCAGTTAATTTTTAAGTAAATGAGAATGTATGAGATGGGAGTGGCCAATTTGAAACATGGCCTGGACCACCTGTGAAAAGGTGGTGTTGCTTTTTTAAAAACAACATGATTAATAATTGACAAATTATTATTTCTTTTTTTTCTTTTTTTTAAATAAATGGATATTTCTTTTAAGAAGTTCAAAATATTGTTATGTGGTTTCAAAAGGTCTTTTATGCTCTGTATCTGATAATGATATTTTAATTGAGTTTGGTTAAGTTCTTTCCAGTCTATGTGTTTCATTGTGAGGGGAACTTAGCATTTGTTGCATATTGGAGGTGGCTCATTTTTAAGTAAATGAGAAACTTTTTTATTTATAAACTTTTTGTAGTTGTGTGTCTTGTTTAAGAAACACAATTTAAAACTATTTTAAATAAGTTAAAGATGTGGATTGTGGTGTAACGGATACTGGCTTGGAATGAGAAATCAGAGACCAGAGTTCAAATTCCAGTTGAGTTTGTTACTTTCATTTATGTACGAATATCCATCAGTCCTCATTAACCCTATCTATGGTTTAAATAGTAGGATATGTTGGGTCCTGTCGCCTTGGTTGGTAACCAGACTTCTACAGGAAAATCTGCCTAGTCAGTCATGTATGATATATGGCAAATAACTGACTGAAGGTTAAAAATTCTTTTAGAAATCAGTTTCTTTACAGGAATTATTGTTCTTGTAAGAAAAAAATTATATATATATATATATATATATATATATATATATATATATATATATATATGTGTGTGTGTGTGTGTGTGTGTGTGTCTGATTGAATAAATTACAAACATTATATCTGCTTATTTTTATCATAATCCTTTCATATTCCCAAATATTTTCCATATATTACAATTGAATAAGGCAAGAAATGCATTGTAATAGTGAGAATCACTTATTTCCCAAGTACTTTCCATCTCTTTCTGTGATCATCATCAGGAGTGCAACTGGTAAGGCAAAAATGATGTGCCGCTATCCATTACTGAATTTTTTTCTTTTGTGTTTAAATGCTATGGCTGACAGTTATGCTTTAGCATTCATTAGAACATGAAAAGTTATTCATTATGGAATTTATTCTTTTATATTAGAACATAAGACATAAAAAGAAAAAAATAACACTATAATGATATATGTTATTCTGCTTTCACAATTGAATACAGGGTAGATGATACTCAACTTTTTTTGCATATACATATTTATTGGTTAGTTGATTTTGGGATATCAACTTCTATGGGTTATTTAATGCTGAAATCTAAATATTTTGTACATAATTTTATACTTTCAGAGTAAAATGTAGTTTTTTTTTTAGATACATAGTTTGTAGATTTTTGTGATGTCAACAAACACTTGTTGCCACTTTTGTGATGTCAATGAATACCCATTGTAGTAGAGACTTTGTAATCGTGGATACAACTACAATACGCCGTTGGACAATGCTGGTGTCAGATGCCTTTGAATATCACTTGCACTAATAGTACTTGCTCGATAATACTCACTTGAATAGTAATCTGTATAGTGTTCCAAAAAGAGAAATATTGTAGGGAATAGAGTAGAGAAAAGAGGTCCAGATACTACAGAGGATAGAGTAGAAATAGCGATTGTATAGTAATAGAGGATAGACTAGAAATAGTGATCGTTACTTGTTGAAATAATTCCTATATATATATAATTCCTATAATGACAATAATTCCTATATATATATATAATTCCTATAATGACAATAATTCCTATATATATATATATATATATATATATATATATATATATATATATATATATATATATATATATCCTTCGATATCAATATATAACTTCCGTTAAGTTAACCGTTTAAATATGTCAATATCTCCTAACTCACTCAGGTCTTTTCTCTCCCTCCTCATTTCCTCACTTCGTTAATTTACATATGTTTAATACGTCCCGTCAAAAATGTGTAAATTTTCTTTTCATTTTTTGTTTGGAAGTAAAGTCTGATGATCCGCAGTCCTTTAAAAGGGTTGTGGTGAAATAATTTATTACATGGAAGCTTAAAGTGATCTGTTTTTATTTAAATTATTTGCTCTGGATTTACATTAAGCTTTCTGGATTTTATCCTCCTTAGGTTTACCCATACGTATTGCCTAGTTTTTCATAAACTATATGTACATATATATATTTTTCCTCTATGGTCATGTGATCTACTTAATTCAATTATGGGATCTCCATTGTTTGCTCACTGGTGATCTATGTTCAAACTGAAGTGTCGGCAGTGACATTTTATTCCTATATAACATAGATCATAAAATGAATTACTGTTAATTTCACTACAAAAATGTATTGTTGGTAATATTTTTATAAAAAATGTATTGCTTGTATTTTCTATACTTTTTAGTGTTGTATTAATTGTTATTTTGATATAAAAATGACCTGTTGATTTTTTGGTGGGGTGAGGAGGGGGTCACTATTTGCAAATAGATGGGGCCCTAATAGGTGCTAACATCCCAGATCACGGTGGATGTGGGAACAGAAATTAAGAGAAGGTTCCACCCTCCTCAAAACCTCCAATCTCTCGATCAGAGGCCTTGCTGTAGTTTATCACCATACGCAGGATGTTTATACTTTCATAGTGTTTTGACCACAGTTAAGGGGTTAACTATTTGTCCATAGCTGGGACCCTAATAGGTGCTAACATCCCGAATCACCATGGACTTGGGAACAACAGAAATTAAGAAGTGGTTCGACACTCCTCAAAACCTCTAATCTCCTGATCAGAGGCCTTGCTATCAGATGTAGTTTATTGTCAAACCCAGGATAAGGGTCACATGGGCAGAATGCTAATGTTCTAACCACTCCGCATGAGTGTTCCTTAAAAGGCATGAATCCCCATTTTCCTTTACTGTGTTCCAATGTTGGATATCTCATTACTGGACTGTTATAATAGTTATAGAATGGATAAATGAATGCATTGATAAATCATGTTCTTATCCTGACCAGGCAACAACAGTAGAAAAGCTATTACCTTTATTGTTACCCATGCTTGATTCAAAAATCATACGACTCATACAGCAATCGCTATCACTTGACTTAAAATATTTTTGCCCTTCCTTGCCTTTAAAGGTGTGCCCTTTGCCATGCTGATGTTGCTACATGTTGCTACATGCTATCTCACACTGCAAATTTTTTTCTAAGCTCTATACTAAACATTAAATCTGTTACGAAAAAAAGAACTAAACAAAATGAACACTAAACGATCAGCTTTAAAAAAAGACTCGTAACTGGAAAAAGAGTGAATGAAAAAAGAATGTTAACAACAAATACTTTTTCACACCCAACCCAGTTCTGCGGAATCAGAATCAACGTTGAGTTTAAGCAAGTGAATGAGCCAATTGGAGTAAAGTGCCATGCAGATTTAAATTTTCCTCCACTTGTGATGAATGTAGCTGTCGATTTTTTTTGCATGCTAGCATGCTACTTAACATTCGTGTCAGTCAGCTGTTGGCTCTCACGCTGGCCAATAGAATCTTCCTGCCTATTTGTGGCAGCCAGCTATAGGCTCTCACTCTGGCCAGTAGAAAATGGCCGCAAACTACATGAAAACTGCCGTAGAAGCATGAAAAAAATCGATTATTTCCACTATTGATGTGAGTTGGGAAATGCAAAGTCAGTCTTGGCCTTCCCACCAACTTGGAGCATGTGCATGTAAATTTTAATGCAAATCCGTCGAAAATTGCAGCTGTGCATTCGTTACACACACACACACACACACACACATCCTGCCTTTTATAGATAGAGATTTTTGATGGGGGATTAATTAGG